AATCGGAAACTTCAGGTATTTGATCAGGAACCTTTACAAAGTTCGAACATTACAAACTATTTAAGTTCAGTGGATTCTCGTCGGACATTAATATTTTTACGAAAACATTAACTAACTTCAACGGTGGAAAACCGAGCGTGTGTGGCCAAGGACAAAGTTAGCTAGCTTCCTGGCGAATCGTACTTACATCAACTCGTCATTACCACCCACTACTCTTTTACCAACGAATAGTGGGATTGACCGTCACATTATAATGCCCCCACTGCTGAAAGGACAAGCATGTTTGGTGGGACGGGGATTCAAACCCTCGACCCTCAGATTGCGAGTCGAGCTCCCTAACCACCTGGCCATACCGGGCTCAACTGTTTTGATTGTATTTGATTTTTCTTTTACTCATTTGCTTGTTTCATCATAATATTGGTGAGAAAAGCCAAAACCTATTGAAAAAACACATTATAATTCGTTAGAACGTCGTTTCCGCGATATTTCACACAATGAGTAGGGAATTACACTTTGGTAGAAGTATTATTGTAACCTTGAAATAATGTGGCTAAACTCTAAGAATAGTAAAGGTTGAAACAACCACATCAACTACTAATCTTAAATTGATTTTGCACACCATAAATTTTAAATATAAATCAGTTTTAAATAACTAACACCTTTTAAGAATAGTATTATCTCGCTACTACAAGGGTTGAAAAAAATACTGTTTGTTTGTTGTTAAGCACAAGGCTACACAATGGCTATCTGTGCTGTGTCCACTACGAGTATGAAAACCCAGTTTTTAGCAGTATGAGCCCTCAGACTTTCCGCTGAACCATTGGGGGTGGGATATAGCAATCATAACAAATGATTTAAGATATTTGATACATTATAATTTTAAAACAAGTATTACGTAACAATCAATAACCTTCTGAAAGAAAAGCATGTGAAAATATAATACATTAATTAAAGATGTATAATGAGCACACTGTTAAAATGTTGTGTTGTTTCATAAAACAAACTGTGTTCCCCAAATTTGTGTGAACTATAACACAATTCATTGTTATAGCCTGTAAACAAAACAACAAAAAAAAGAAACGTGGTTTTCCAGCAAAATTATGTGCGTTACAATAAGTTTTACCTCTGTCTCCGAAGGTTGACGTAAGTTATGTTTTCGGCCCTGTGTGTGTGTGTGTGCTTGTGTGTTTGTCAGCAAGATTTCTGGAAAACTGCTCTATTGATTTGGACGAAAATCGGTATACATTTGGGCTGTGGCTTAAATTAGAAGTGATTAGTTTTCAGAGGGTCAAGATCACAGTACGGTCTTGAAAATAAAAAAATCCCTATCTGTTAACATGGGGGCTGATTTTTCACACTATTTTTGCTCTTTCACTTGTCTCTTCATAACGGCGGACATACAAACACATTTTCGTATTTTTTAAGAGCCGAATATGATCAACACTATGTGGAGGTATGCGCTCCACTGAGTGCCCTCTAGTTACCTCCGCTACCGAAGGTGAAGGAGGTTACCCCCCCCCCCCCGTATGTGTGTGTGTGTGTTTGTCAGCGTGATTTTCTCGAAAACGGCTGAATGGGTTCGGCATACATTTGAACTATGATCCGACTTCGAAGTGATTAGTTTTTGGAGGGTCAAGGTCACATCAAGGTCACGAAAATCCAAACAATCCCTACCCGTTAACATGGGGACCAATTTTTCACACTATTTTTGCTCCATAACTCAGTCAAAAATAACCGGATTTTGATGAAACTTGGTGCACTTATGTAAAATATCCATTTCTCATTATCCTGCCAAAAATGGTCCGTATCTGTTGAAAGCGACGGATATACGGACACATTTTCGCATTTTTTGAGAGCCGAATATGATCAACGCTGCGTGGCGGAGGTGTGCGCTCTGCTGAGTGCCTCTCTAGTTGTGTTTGAAGTCACATTTGTTAAGACGAGTTCAAGTTTGAACGTTCAAAAGTTGCGAGTGCCTGGTAGAAACGAAATGCTCTTCATCTGAGGTAATTTTTAAAACAATGCAAATTTTTAAAAATGTTTTATGCAATGTTTGACTTTTAATTTATGTTATAAAATGTTTTAATCTATTAATATTATTATGTGTATTATGAAAATTCATCACAGAGATTGTATACCAGCGAACATACTTGTGTTGTTGGTATTTAAACTTGAACTTATGTTGCAGCCACTCAGATTTGTGTTTCAGAGAACACAAGTTTCGGTTTTAGCACAATTCTTTTACTGTATTTGCTGTTAATATAAATTCAACTATTATTATAATAAATATTAAAAAATACTTACTCTAAAAATTTAGTAATTTCATTTCGACTACAATTGGACCAAACCAAAGGACTGGTGTCAGAGATTAAGTGGGGCGACATAACGTGTTGACGTTCCCCGTGAGAAGCTTGACAGCCGTTGTTTGGACTATCATGACTCATCCCAAAGCTAAACAATAACAACAACAAAATTATCAGCAAATCCCGAAAAATAAAACATGAATAATGTTTTCAT